CCCTAAACCCCAAAGCTTTGAACCCCAAAACCCAAAACCCGGAGCCCTAAACCTGACCTCCTCCAAGTCCTTCTCGATCTTCGTGAGCTTGTCGGCCTAAGCGTTCGTTTCTTTGCTGGGTTCCTAGAATATAGGGTGGGTTTAGGGTTACCCTAAACCCTAAACGCTAAGCCGGGCTCTATTAGATGTTGAAGGCTCCATAAGGCTATAGGGCTCTGTAAGAAGATGTTCTAGTGTTCTTTACGGACGTTCACTTACTTCCCCAATAAGCCAGGGACATAAAAGGTTAAACTTTCAGGGTACTACTAAATTATAAGAATCCAACAAGTTTCAAGGTTGGGCATTGGGGAACTAAGTAATTATACATTCTTCTCTAAGGGCTTCATAACGCTTGCAGGGGGGGCCTTCGTCGCTTTTTAGTGGGTTCTCAGGTTTGCAGGGCCTTCCGCTTTGGGGGGTGTCAGTTTCGAGGTCTGGAGTCGGGAGGTTTAGGGGGTTAGGCGTTTAGGGGCTTAGGGGTTTAGGGGTTTAGGGCTTTAGGGGTTCAGGGTTTAGGGGCTTAGGGGCTCTAGGGTTTTTTGCGCTTCGGCTTCATGCTCGCTAGGAGGACGGCCCGGAAGGTTGGGAGGAGCTAAAGCAGCTGTCTCAAGAGTTGGGACTTCTGCTGTACCAAAATAAATTGTAAGGTACCTTTGTAAGGAATGTAAGGAGATGCTACTACTATTTTTCTCTTCCGACCTCTGTGCTATGGGGGACCACTCGCTTTGCACCGCAGAAGCCAAGGTTCCGACCTCCGCTGGGTTTTGGAACTTCGCAAAAAGGGCCTCCGGGAAGCTCCATGCTGACGGCAAGACGGACGCGCACGCTTCGATGCTCAGGAAACCGCCATGGCCATGACCAAAGCAAGGGAGCTAAACCCTAAACCGCCAAACCCTAACCCTTAACTTCAATGCCTGGATCTCAGGAGAGTTGATGGCCATGTCGGCTTTGGCCCCCTTGCAGAGTTCAGGCGGTAGCTTGCACGTGTGCATAAAGACCACAGATGCCGACATGCCAAACGAGAACGAGTTCTCTCTTTGAACGAGGCCTACTCCACTCCATTCGTTGAGGGAAGGCTTCATTGACAAGCACAAGCTTGTGCTGCACAATCCCACCTCTAAGCGCTAAGACTAGAGGCATCTGACAGAAGCTAGAGGCATGAACGCAGCACCCTAAACCTACAACTCTGAACCCACGATCACCTCCACAGTATCCTTCGGGACTGTCTCCCGGAGGATGCGGATAGCCTCGACAAGTTCATTGGGCCATGCACCATGGTGACCTGATACGTAAGGATGCCCTTGATAATAACACTAGGGTATCGGAGCAATGCAGTCTATATTTCTCGCAAGGAACCCGAAGGAGACATAACCAAATAACCTTTCACCGTTGCACAGGCTTGCCACTGTCAGCCCATCTCTACTTGGACGTTCACGGGTGCATGGATCTCTCGTCTTGACATCTTTGGCTTGAGCCAGACGCGCATCTGCAAGAGCCTGCCATAAATCCAGTGCCCCATCCTCCAATCTACTCTCCTGCTACTGTCAGTACTAATAGTAACAGTCATGTTTGTAATCTTTGCAAGAGTAGCAAAACATGCATGATAGTTATCATTATCCGAAGAACCAAATTACTTTGTACAGCATGTGCTTCTCACACCGAAAAGGCGCTGATGTAAAAATGCCTCGGCTGCAAGTGCGAAGGCCACCCGCATGGGATACTCACCTAAGTGGCACTCGAAGCCGGTGCTTCCGTGCAACTAGGACTAGGATAAACCCAAAACCTTAAACCCAAACCCAAAACCTTAAACCCTAAACCTTAAACCCCAAGCCCTAAACGGCCCTAAACCCTAAGCAGCTCCGGCTGCAGCTTCTCATGACTCTCGATGACATGCAAGCCTTTGGGCATCACTTCCCTCCTGCTGACCCCAAGCCCTAGAACCTTCCCTCAGGGCTCAGTTTAAGCCCTCCTTTAAGGGCTTCTTTAAGGGATCCCTTGTGGTAAACGAGCCCGGAGCCGTCTACGAGCACCGTGGCCGTCAGGGTTGGACCATTGGCCTGTTCAGGCATCAACGTAGCTGCTTGGTGGTCTTGCACGCCGGCAATCCGCCTACTCATGTATATTGTGTACATAATCTGCTTGCACACGTTTGCATAAGAGTGACATGGAGACAGAGAGCGAGAGAGAGAGAGAGAGAGAGAGAGAGTCGACAAGCAGGGAGAGAATCTGCTGCAAGCTGTGCCAATCTGCTGGCCTCTGGGTGGGACCAGGAGTAGCACTTGCCCAGGTTCTGGTCAAAGTCAATGCTTTGTCGCTGTCCTCCGATTGGCAGATGCAGCATATGGCAAACTGCATGCACCAAATAACCGCAAGATAACTTTATGCCTGACATTTCCGCACCGCAAGCCGTAGGAGCCTCAGACTCTACTTTAGCTTCACCCCGTAGCTCCTGGAGGCGTGCGAGTGGCTATCAGGCGGCTATGAAACCTCGGGCTTCGCTCATGCAGTGTTCTGAGACTAGCTTTCGCTGGATGGTCTCCAAGGCTGGTCAAATGAGAACATGTTAGCGAGTCTTCGTCACGTCCACTTTGCTCTGCATCATGTCAACCTGCCAGCGACGGTGCTTTAAACTCGCCGGCGTTGGGCTTTCCTCCGAAAGCCAGTGCCGCACCACCAAGCTAATGAGAACAAAGCGAAGAGCGCCGAGCCCAGGGCTTGATGTGTTCACGAAGCGGCCCTCGATGGAAAAAGCTGAACGAGGTCCTCAGCATCTCGAGTAACTGGGGGCGAAACCCTGCATGGCTCTCTCCTGTTAACTATTCAAGTATAAACAGATAAATACCAGCGTTTCGCTCTCCCTCTCTCTCTGCCTTCCTTTGCTTCCACCTACATCCGAGAGCACGAGGCCGCGACAGTTCTTCGCAGGTCACCAGCTCAAGACTGTTGTCCTCCGCGCATGGGTTTTCGATCGGTTTCGGGTTCATGGCCTCAGGATCTTAGGAATCTTGGGTTTGGGAGTTACAGACGGAGCTTTTGGGGTTTAAGTTTTAGGGCCTTAGCGTCCTTAGCCAATGCTAATCTGCGAAGAAGAAGACAGAGGGGTCTGTGGGGTGGGCATCAATCATGCTGCAGTCGCAGACATGTTTTCACCTCTCTTTCTCTCTGCCTTGATTTGGCTTGGAAGGCCTCCTGCCACCTGTAGATGATGAGGGATAGCAGCTTCATCGAATTGTACCTTTTGCAGGGCACCACTCTGCTGTGCTTTTCACCCATGGGCTCCTTGAGCCCGACAACACTAAACCACAACATCAAAAGCTCATGGCCAGGAGCAACTACTATCGGGGCCTTTACCGCTTAGAATAGGGTTTTGGGGGTTCCTTAATTGTAGTAATCGTATACTATATCCCCCCACAACCCTCATCTGATTATTAAGGCCCCTTCAGTCTGAGTATAGGAACCACCAAAGGCCAGAGCACTCTGCTAGACCTTTCGTCATCGGGGGCACTTTTTTGGGCTCCCAAGACGAAGCTCAAAGGCAGCTCAGTGCCCTGCAGCGGAGTGGCCCTACACCCTAAACCCTGAACCCAAAAGCCCTAAACCCTAGCTAAGCCCTAAAACATAACCCCTAAGCCCGACACCCTGAACCCTAAACCCTTGTCGTTTTGATGAGGTTCGGTTGAAGGGCTTCGCGGCCGTCAGAGTCTTGAAGGCTTTAGGGCTTTGGGCATTGCTGTACTGGTCCAGGCTTGGGGACAGGGTTCGGGGCCTAGGGTTTAGGGCTTTGGCCTTGGGGTTTAAAGGGCCTTCGCGGCCTTCATTGTAGGGTTTGGGGTTCAGGAAAGTGCTTTCCAAGTGACGCTGAACATCGAATGTGCTGACATCTTGGTCCACCTCGTGTCCTTCCCCTAATCTCCTGCATCCTGAAACACGAAACCAGGCCCTTCAGGACTGTAGAACAAGCAGCAAACCACTTACTCTAACCCCCCACAGGTCCCTACACTTACGAGAAAGCGGGCATAGGCCTGTAGAGCACTGCAATCCTACACAACAAACCGATCATTGGGATTTCGACCCGTCGGATGCAAGAAACATCAACGAGATTCCTGCATCTCCGTTTTCTTGGTTAAAAAAGCTTCAAGTCTACGGAATTACAGATGTGCGCTTTAAAAGAAAGGGCCTTGAGTTCCAGGGTTTGCTTCCGGCTAGTGAAAACAGAGTTGGACTGTGGTTCTGGTGGAGGGTCAGGCTGTGCAGGCACGTGCCTTTCTCTAACTCCGGCAGCCTTGGGAAATGCATGGATGCCCTAAATCGTGATATGCTTTTTGTTCCCAAACAGCGGCCTTTCACTTCGGCCTGTCCATAGGAGCCCGAAAGCCGGACACCCCAACCGACACCTTTCATTGTGCCGCCGCGCCTGTGGCCTGAGATCTTTCGGGTCGATGAACGGCTTTTGTCTCACGACCCAACAGGCCCTCTTGAGCCAGAGGCTGGCACGAAAATGCAAGATAAAGCTCCGGAGAAGTTTATGATGCGGAAGCATGCGGGTTGCTGGCTTGCTGGCGTTGCTTTAGCAAACCTACTTGAGAATCTATCAAATCTGGGTGTCTGTCTTTTTCCAAGAAGAAAGACGACGACCTTCGCTTCAGACGAGTGCATGCAGCTGCAGCAGCCAACGTTTGGGCCAGGCCGCGCATCAGTGCTTGACAACCTTGGTGAACGCTGAAAACGGGTCATCTTCGACCTATATAATCCAGGAAGCCCGAGTGGTGGACTTTGAACTTTTGACGTTCCGCTTTCTTCTCTTTCTTCTCCATCCGCTTCTTGTACTTCGCGGCAGGACAGTGCAAGGCTGAACTGAACAAACCTAGAACCCGCCTCTGGGTCGTTCTCTGCCATCTCCTGATCAGTGGGAGTGAAGACCTTGGCACGTCGGGGCACTGTCCTCTCCCTCCCCTTCCACTCTCATTCTCTCTGCTTGAAGAGAGAGGGTGGAAGGAGCCCCCTCTTCAAAACCTGGATTGTGGAAGGCAGAGTGGACACGCCCCGAGGGATCACACCCGTCGGAGTACACCTGCTCGGATTTAGAGTTGAGGGTTTAGGGTTTTGGATTCAGGGGTTAGGGCTTTAGATCTTGAGGGAAGGCGCCCGACATCGATTCTCCTACACTACAACACCCAAGGCTCCAGCATAGTCCATGACAAGCTTCACAACCTTCCAGCCAGCATAGCCGGGAACCTGCCGTCAACTGCCGTCAAGGGGGTATATACTACAAGGGCTACATACTATGATTCAGGGCTACATCTACAAGGACTATACCCTATCATTCAAGGTTGCATTCTACAAGAGCTCTCTCTCTCTCTCTCTCTCTCTCGCTATATGTATACACATACTTCACAGGTTATACCGTTGATCAGATAAATCCTGCATTGCTGCATCACTTTAAGGATCCTGAATGGTATATTCCTGATTATGGGTAATGCAGGATTTATATCATCCACCGCGGTACAAGGTTCTGGGTTGTATACTAGGGGCCTCACTGGTTAGAAAAGGGTTTTGAGACAGAGCATACTGCAAGTGAACTTGACACCCTCAGGAATGGTGGCACTTAATGCTGTGCCCCGCGCCGCGTGAAACAAGAAACTTGGCTCCCCACTGCGAGATACAGCAGCCAGCCGTAGTCGCTCAAGGTTACCTCCCAGCTCATTGATTCGGTGATCCGCCGGCCAGCTTACATTAAAGTTTACGCTGTAGCTCTGCTCCAAGACACCAAGGCTTGCGTGGCCAAGTTGACAAGGAAGAGGTCCTGCCAGAAAGAACGAAGGATCTTCTGCCAGACAGGGCTTGCGGTCTAGGGCATGGATAGAATTTAGGGATGACCATGAGCGAACATGCACTGTCAGTCCAGGTACATCTCATAGTTCGCTCCGATTTCCAGGGAGCTCTTGATGGCGCCGAACCTTGTTACTTCAGCGTCTTCACCCACGAAACCTCAACTCCTCAATCCTGAAGCTCTCGCGAGGGTCCACAGCACTGAAGAGAAACACTAGAATCTAGAAACGGCGACACGAACCTTTGACGTGGTCCCTTCAGTTTTCAGTGTAGAGCATGACCTTGACAAAAGAGAACCTACTCTGGCATAAGCGGCATAGCATACGAGATCCTGAACAAGGGCCCAGGAAACCCGACACATGAGCCAATCTCCGACTTCTGAGTTCCCCTGCGTGAAGTAGGACACTCCAGTGAAGAGCAGCATGCCGCACCTGAGATGGGGCACAGGGTTTAAGGTTTTTTTTTAAGGGGGTTAGAGGTTACGAGGGGTATAGACTTAGAGTTTAGGGCTTTAGGGCTTATCTCTTATCTTGTTTTCAGGTCAGGGCCTTTAGGGGCGCAGGGTTTAGGGCTCGGTCTGTTGAGGGCTCCAGAGTACGGGCGAGGGGCTTGCAGCCCGCGGGTCAAAAAGAAACTGACATTTTAAGGCCTTTCTTGTGAGGGCTGTATGAACAGAAAAAGGTTGAAGTTTACAAGTTACAAGTTGCTAAGTGTTTTGAGGGCTGGATCTTTGGCTCTCAGGGTGGAAGTGGGGGAAGCTTAGTGTCAGTGTGCGTCGTCCTACATGGTTACAAAACTCTTTTGGTGAAGCAACGACATCAAGCACTACTAGCAGAGCTGAAATACGGATGCTTGCGCCGGCAGCTCTGTCATGTATTGTGCGTGATCTCAGCTTGATCCTACTGTGCTGCTGTACCATCTGTACCTAACCAATTTGCCGAGAGGCAGATTCCACTTGCCCATCGAAGACCAGAACATCACCACACGGCCGAGAAAATACAAAGCATTCACCGCAATGATGGCATAGAGGTAGTACCTGACGTGGTAACTTCCGATGCTCGGAAAGCAGATTTTTCCGTGATAGCTTACCTTCAATCAAAGTTGTCCTGTCGGATGGTTCCTACATCTGGGGCTCCCGCTGAATGGAGGACTCTGCCTTCTTGGCCTCGTAGAAACCAATGTGGGTGTGTCAGCCGGATTCTGCCGTGGCCGTATATTGTATCACAGGCATACCCCGGAAAAATCTTACATGCTGCTCGACTGGATTGTGTGCGCATATGAATATCATCTAAGCACAGCTGAGTATCTGTAGCAACACATGCTGGTGTCTGCAACTAGAGAATTACAGCTGCGCAGCACCTGCTTCTTGTCGGCTTGGCCAGCCATGGTGAAGTGCAGGCAACTCTCAGGCGGAAAATTGATGTCGCTTCTTTTGCTCAGCTATGTCTGGTTGCACATCATGTCGGTTGATCTTGAAGTCAGTGCTGACAGCTGCGGTTAGCTGGCTCTTCTGCCTTGGAGTTGAAGGCTTTCAGTCGCTCAAAGAGGTACAAAGTTGACAATGTGTTGGGTCCGTCACAGTAGCTTGGAGACCTGGTTGAGCCAACGCGCGAGATCTGTACCCTGCAGCCTGATCCTGGGATGCATATAATTGTATATTATATATTATGTATTATATTATATATTGCATATTATATATATATTATATATTATATGAGTAGCTCTTCATGAGCTCTGCAAGCAGAGCAAGGGCATTCTCCAAATTCGAGAATCCACACGCCCGGTTGAATTCTACACACATTGGTGAAACTTGTCGGACGCGGTTTTAAGTGTGTCTGCGTGTATCTACCAGACCATGTGGCCATTCTGCACTATTGCGCTCGTAGCAGATCGGATGCATGGCTAGCACTGAACCTGCTATGCTCCACCGGCTCTTCCTTTGCCTAACGTTCACCATTTCGATATCCTCCGAGAACTACAATACGTCTCTTCAAGTGCCGATGCAGGCCTTCCATCAGAAGTGTCCAGCTCGTCAGGCTGTCTTCACTTCCAAAGACTTCCAACATGGCTCCCTCAGAGTTTGTTACCCTCGATATCTCGTGTGCCTCACCAAACTGGAAGTCAGGAATTCAGTAGCGCTGTGGGGGAGGGAAGTCGGGTCCGGAGAACCTTCGTCGTCAGGCTTGCCACCATGTGGTGTGCGGGGTTGCGCTGTGCTTGCCTTTTTCGTGGGGCGATGGGGCCCGCAAAAAACCTAAACCCTGACCCCAAACTTGAAGAGTCCTATGCTTGAGCGAACCGCTAGAAGTCCGGTCGCTGTCGGCCATCAGCCCACCCATGAAACCCCAAATGCTCGATCGAGCAGAGCTGCGAAGTCGAGGTAGTGGTAGGCACCTGGGATTCTTGCAGGGACTCATCAGATCACGACACATGTTCTCTCATGCTTGGGCCGGATCAAAGTAGATCCGATGTATCTTCAAAAGCGTGAGGTCACTGGTTTCTCTGTCAGGTCATTCGAGGCCAGTGAATTCTGTTCCTAACGAAAGTGCGCGTGATTCCTAGCGGGAAGAGATCAACAAAGCATGAAGGGCGAATCGATTCGGACAGCCCTGACAGTAGGCCCCTGGCGGTCACCACTTCCTCTTTCAGTGCCTACCAGGAACAGAAACAAGCGACAGCAGGTATAAGCGACTTGAAGCTGCTCTGCGGCCAAATCCTATTTCAGGATATGCATCCTCGATACGAGTAAGTTCTCGCCCCAACAAGTCTGGTGGACCCTCTGCGCCTGGCTCTCTTTGGATACCGCAGGCTGGCTTGTCTTTCTCAGCATCCTCAAGGCGTCTTTGCACGTGTCCTCGCCGGTAGCAGTCTCATGTACATCCCCGGTAGCAACAAACCTCTGTGCATCTTCTCGGAATCACCCCACCGCCGCCTGCCCACCATATGATCGTAGCATGTTGGAGATGATGCCACGCGCCTTCGCCGCTCTCAGTCTCTCAGTACCGAGCGTCGTAATAAAAACATAATAGCAGCAATATCAATAAAAAATAACAACAGAAGAATAGTTGGGGTTAGACCTGAAACTCCGATGCCTCCTTCTGCTCGTCACTGTCGTCATCGCGGCTTCGCTTTGCCAGGGCCCTGGTGACATCTGCCCCTCCCCCTTGCCAGAAAACGTCAGTCGTAAACCCGAAGCCCTAAAAGCCCCAAAACCCTGAACAACTGGACCCAAACCCTAAACCCTGAACAACTAGACCCCAAATCACCCTAAACTCCGAACAGCTGAGCCCTAAACCCCTAAACCCCTAAACCCTAAACCCTGAACAACTCAGCTCCCTGCAGGGGCGTCTCATTGGCCCTGGTGATCACGTTCGGGTCGGCCTTTAACCTGCTATGCGCTGAGGCGGACGATGCTTAAGTTAAGAGCGCCTAATCTAGGGGCCTTAAGATTTGAACAGTGTTTTGGGGCATATTATATTAAAGGGGCCTTAATAATTAGAATAGTTTTTGGGGGTATATTGTACTGTAATTTTGATAAGGAGCCCCCCAAAATAGTATTGACAATTATTGAGACCCTATAGTAATGTAGGGGCCGGCGTAGTAGGGCTACTATACAGGTAACTAGTAACCAAAAAGGGTTTTTTCCTTGGGTTTCTAGATGGGTTGGAGGCTAGGTGCCTTCAGCATTAGACTAGGGTTTTGGTGCAAATTCTACTAAAATTGCATAACATACTGGCGATACACAAGGGAGACAAAGATCTATGAGTTTCTCACAACCAGGAGAAGGTTTTTGCGGTAGAGCTATGGCGATGCAATTTTCGTTTCAAGCTGTCACGTAGAAACGAGAGTTTGTTCCGACATCCTCTCCGAGGTGTGGAGTGGGCTGGAAAGCCTTCGTAGTCCCAATGCTACAATGGACATGACCATTTCTCAACTCAGCCTCATGCAATCGGCTTTAGGGTGTTTTAGGCTGAAGGATGTTGCAGGGTAGAGTAGGGGTACAGTTGATTAGCTGTCCTTGAATCCTCGAACTGTACACCCCTAAACCCTGAAACTCCTACACCCTGAAGCCCGAACCTCCGGAACCTGACATAGAAGCTAAATGATTTCCGATGTTAATCTTAGGGCGCCTTAATACTTTATAGCTATGCTATACTACACACCCCGAAACCCTATTCTAGTTCTAACTCCCAAACCCTAAACCCTAAAGCCCTTATAGAACCGTTTCATTAACGAACCCCTTCTATTTGTAAAGGCCCCGGTATTAAACCGGCCGGCTCGGCTCGAGGAGTTTGAAGGCCATGGGCAGGCACGCGTCCGCGGAGGCGATGCAAAGAGGCGTCCACTGGCCGAGGGTTTACGGCTACGGGTTTAGGGCTTCGGGTAATATAAGGTTTCGGGTTCAGGGTTTATGGTTTGAGATGGGGTCTTGTAGAATTGTTGCTATAGGTTTCTCTGTGGATCATTATAGACTTGTATAGGGTAATTTAAGGTTTCTAAGAGGTATTTGGGTTTCACAAGGGTTGCTATTGTCAGGCAGGTTTTTTAAAGAGCTGTTCAACTGGGTTTTGTGAGGGCTGTGCCATTCTTACAACCGTTTCAAGCTTTGCATGGGTTTCGGGTCTATAGCTCCACGTTTCAAGACGTAATTATGCAGAAGTGACTTACCCTGCGATCTCTCTATGTATGCTTCTGGAGAATCAATTCAGGCTCGGCGCACCCCGTCAGACTGCCGCGGGGCATTGATGTCCAAGCCACCCTCCGTGTTGCCGTCCGTGAGGGCTTTCTGCATCAATGGCGGCAGGCCCCACAGAAAGCAGCATAGTTCACATGTCTGTCAGGAACCAGAACAGAGAAAACACTTCCCAGGCTCTCATTCAGGAAACCATCCTGCAACCAAATGATGTGGACATGAGGTCATGAAAGGGGGAGGGCACCACAATGCGCCAGGAGTTGCTGAAGTTCTCCCGGTTGACGAGCTCGCAGACCAAGTGCAACGCCTTCACGCTGGAGATGAGGAGGGCGATGTCTCAGAGTACATTCAGGGCTGAGGGGTTTAAATCTGGATATGGCTGATCATGCTAGCTGCTAGCCGCTCGGTGTCTATTCTGCAATGAACGGTATCACTGCGAGCTCCCCCACCCCCATGTCGCCACTGATGTTGCTGTTGCTGGCGGGGCTGCCATTGCCGCCACCACGACGACGACGGAGACGACGACGACTACTACTACAGTGTGCAGGGAAAGTAGAACAATTATTCGAGCAAGATTGCCCACCAATCTTGGCTACTGCCACTACTCCGAGGACGACGACTACTGCTACAGCAAACACAGCAACAACAGCAGCAACCAACTGCCAGTGCTAGTACTAGTACTAGCACTGGTACAGGTGCTGGTGCTGGTACTGGTACTACGGTTGATGATACAAATCCTGCATGACCCATAATCTGGAATATACAATAATTCCCATAGCTTAGTGTCCTTAAGGTAATGCAGGACTTATATCATCAACCGTAGCACTTGCAGCAGCAGGAGGAGGAGGAGTAGACAATATAATGACATCATTGCAATATGTATGTATACATATATATATATACACACACACACATTCCTCCTGCTGCTGCAACTGCTGCTGCTGTTAGTACTGCTACTACTATTACAGCTACTCCTGCTGCTGGTGCTGCTGCTCCCACCACCGCCACCACGACGACTACTACTAATACGACGACGACGACGACGACGACGACGTCTACTACTAAGTTATCATCGTCATCACCATCACCATCTTCGTCATCATGATCATCGTCGTCATCACCATCCCTCTACTGCTGCTAGTGTGATGCCGCACGCAAGATCCACGAGGACTTGCACACTGCATACATATGATCTGAGAAGCTGTGCTTCGAAGAAGTGCTGAGACACCGTGACTCACCGGAAACCTCGCCCGAAACCAATGAATGTCACATCATGTTATCAAGCATGCTCACGACATAGAGGTATATTGCAGGAAGCTCAATCAAAATCGCCCTGACTCTACACCCGGAAAGTGAGTGATGGGATCATATTCGGAAACTTATGGTGAACCATGGCTTTCTTGGTTTAAGGTCTTATATCACATCGCAAATCCCCTGAACAATAAAACCCCATACACCCCCTTCTTATCTTCTTAACATGGCCGTCAAGGCCTGTGAGAGCTGCGGGCTGTGGAGAGGCACCCCCCAGTCCACCATCCTCATTAAATTAGGATCTCACAAGTTAGGGCTTAGGCTCTAGGGCTCCTTGGATTCACAAGCCACAGGCTTCAGGATATCATGAGCATGACTGGACTTGGAAAGCCGGATCAAGTTGGTCCATAAAGGAAAGCAGCACCTCTACATGTTGCATCCT